GTTGGCACAAATCAACGCTTCTACATAATTGCTCAATCACCACAGGACAAGCTGACCACAAATATTTTCTGGCAGTGTGTCTGGGAGGCTGACGTTTATTTGATTGTAAAATTATCGGAGGGTCTAAATTACATGCCGCCGAATAGCAACCAGCGGCTTGAGTTTGATCAAGTGAGTTTACCTCAAACACTTTGCGACAGCTTTTCAGTTTCTCACTACACATACACATTCACTTAATTGCAGTTCCAAGTGTATCAGGAATTCTCACAAACCACAGATCGTTGCATTACCAGCAAGCTGCGCCTCTTTCACATACCATCGCGTCGTTATCGCTCCGTTTGGCATTTGAACTACACCAATTGGGGCGAACAGAATTGCCCGTTGGAGGTGAATCACTTTTTGGATTTTCTCGAAGAGCTGAATTCTGTACGCATGGCTTCGGCAAACGAAGTGCCACCGGGACATAATACCAATCCGCCAGTGTTGATACATTGTCTCGAGGGTGGCGGACGCTCGGGCGTAACGTTGACCGCTGACTTGTTACTCTACACGCTGGATCATAATGAGGTGGGTAGCTGTGTATTTGTACTACATTGTAGTTGTCAATATATTAATGCAAATTTTCACATAACTTTGTAGGATTTGGATATTCCACGCGTTATAGGTCAACTACGTGATCAGCGTGATAGCATAATACCGTCCTTAGCGCAGTATAAATTTATTTATAGTCTACTCATAACATATTTAAAACGTACGCGTTTAATTTGAGCGCCAAATGTGCCTTATAAACGAAAAACCCTCCAAAACCCAAACTGCTCACACCCCACACTTGTGGCCATTATTACGAAATTTAAGCAATTCTAAATTGCATTAGTTTTAAAACAGAGAGCTAACGAAATAGTATGCGTATCGCATTTTTTTTTTTAATTTACAGTTAGCTTAAGTGACGATATTTATATTTACCTATACAAAAGAAATGAGTAAGCAAAAAAGAGAACCGAAACAAAAATGAAAATAAATTAGAACACAATGTGAACGAACAATTAAAAATATGCGTTAAACTACTAATTAAGCAACATTGTATACAATAAATTTTTTTTATAACCTACATACATGTTATATATGGTGCTTCCATCGAAAAAGTGACTGACCGATAACAAACTATACACCCCTAACACAAAAAAAAAATGTAGATACCTGTTTGTTGAAAATATTGAAAATTTTGATAATTAGGCCAGAGTAAATAATTTTTGGGAGCAACAAAAAAAAAAAATTAAATGAAACCCATTCGAAAATGTGGATAATATAACAAAAATGAAAGGAAAATATTTACGAACGATTTTAGCTCCGGGAGAGAAAGGAGAGTGGAGTGGTAATTTTTAAAGGTCAAAAACGGTTTATCACGATTTCCGGCGAAAGTAAGAGTTCTATAGCAAAAAGTTATATAGCAAAGTTGTAGTTAATGAAAATTTCTACAACTTTTGTATTAACACAATGTTCACTTAACCTCAAAATATGTGGAAAACTTCAAATAACACTACGAAATAATAGGTAGATAATCTTTTTTTTGCATTTTCTGAGAAAACTTACCCTAGTATTGTACCATATATATTTTTCATACCATCAGAAAGTAAAGATTTCAACGAAGAAAGAGCCTACCGACTTTTTTAAAAAAGCAAATATTTGACTTGAGCATTTTTGATTGAAAATTAACGCTTTTTTCGATATTACGACAAAATAATTAAAAAAAAAATATTTCTAATTAAAAAAAATTATTTCAAATAAAAAAAAAAATTTTTGGAGAAAAAAAATATTTTAATAAAAAAAAAATATTTTAATAAAAAAAAATATTTTAATTAAAAAAAAAATACAGTGCGCTTGAGATATAAAAAGGTAACTTTACACAAAATTTCTTAAAAAAGAATATTTTTTGAAAAGATTAAAAATAAAGAATCGAAAACTTGGTTATTTTAATTTTTCACTTAAATTTTGATATTATGTGAAAAATGTGCTAATACAAAAGTTGTACATCTTGCCATTAGCTACAACTTTGCCATATAACTATTTTTTTAGTCCGTAAATTATTTTACTCTTAATTTTTGTTATTTTATCTTTTTTTCCAATGCGTTCCAACATATTATACTATGATTTTTTTTTTAATTTTTACCATTTTCAAAAGCTGTGGCGCTGGCCTAAATCAAATATATTGGAATTTATAGCTTATTATTATTGTATTGCTGATTTTTTATGCAATTTTCACACCATTTTACCACTTATTATAACTATATACAAATTTATATCACTATACACATTATACAAAATTATACGAAAATTATATGAAAAATGGCGTACCATTATTGCTATTATGTCATTGCATTATTAAACAAAAAACACAAACATAAATTATGTATTTATTAGCTTGTTTACTTGTGCGCTTTTAAAAAGCCCATTTATCAACATAAAATTAATTTAATTTTATGATTTGTGTAATTGTTAAAGTTTTGAAGTTTTCCATGTATGACGTATTTTATGTATGTGTGTATGCACGTTTCATGTATTTAGTTAGCGTTTAGTTTAAGTGCATTAAGTGCCTGTAGCCGCATTACCGGCACATACATATATGTAGACAAGAATTTTAAAATTATTATTATTAAGCGTGACGCTTGCTAATTTGGCAAAGCTCATTAGACATTTTTTTTTTTAACTGTAAAGTTACATATCATTATAGTCAGTCAGTTTCGTATTTGTAATTGAAAGCAATAATATGTTGCATATACGTCATACATACATACTTATATTATTTAATAAATAAAATTTGTAATAGCAGAAAAAAATGGCTTTTAATTGGGTTGAATTTCAGTGAGTGTGACATTATAAATTAAATGAGTGCTCTATGAGAGGAAGAGTGATATAACAAAATTCATTTTTCAGCTGACCATAGAATAAGACTTTTAGCTTAATAATTGCTTTTGCGAATATCAATTGCTTCGAAAGTACTTGACGGATTTGAAAATTCTTTCACCGTTGGGCAGCTACACTTTCTCTGGTGAACATAGGCTATAAAGATTTTCAAGCACGTATAAGTACCTACAAAAAATGTGTAACTGTTATAAAGAGTGATCCATTTGGCGGTTTCCTACCTTTTTAAAGAAAAAATACAGAAATTTCAAATTTTATTGGGAATGTTCATTATCAATTGAAAGACAATTTTTTGGCATTTTTTTTTTAAATTTTTGCCGTGGCTACGTCTCCGATGGTTCATCCATTGAGTCTAATTATCGATGACGCGTGATGTTTTGCTTCAAGGCCAGAATCGAAGCGGGATTGTGCGGATTGACTTTAGATTTTACATACCCCACAGGAAAATGTCTAACGGTGTGATATCACACGATTGTGGTGACCAATCGACCGGCCCAAAACGTTAAATTATCTGCTAACCGAAGTGTTCTCTCAATAATCCATTGATGGATGCGATGTATGGGCAGTGATCTCGTCTGTTTGAAACTTGGCGAGATCGTGAGCTTCAATTTTAGGCATCAAATAGTCGGTTGTTGTGGCGCGATAACGGTTGCCATTGACGGTTACGTTCTCACTGGCATCATTTTTGAAGAAATATGGACAGATGATACCACCGGCCCACAAACCTGCCTGTTTTTTCTGAATGAAATGACAGCTCTTGAAACTCTTCAGTTTGCTCTCGTCCCAAATGCGGTAATTTTGCTTGTTTACATACTCATTGAGCCAGAACTCGCTTAAAAAAATTTGGTTCTAAAACGTCGGATCTTCTTGGAACTTTTCAAGAGCCCATAGAGCGAAGCGATGTCGCTTGGGAAGGTCGAACGGCTTCAGTTCTTGCACAAACTGTTTTTGTAAGCTTTAAGATCTCGACGTAAAATGCGCCAAGTCGTTCCATACGTCAATCCGAGTTGCTGCAAACGGCGCCGAATCGACTCTCCACGGTCTTCGTGTATACTCTTAGCTACGGCCGCTATATTTTCTTCACTGCGTGCTGGACGTGGTCCATTCAGTCGAATATTATCAAATAATGAATGCTGGGTCGTAAGATGGGTGATGGTGTTGCGAATAGTATGCTCAGTAGTCCGATTATGTTGACCATCAGTTGAGCGAAGCGCGTTCTTTACAGAACGTTATTTTCGTAATAAAGTTGAACGATTTATAAACGTTGCTCAGGCGTAAGTTTTTCCATGATAAAATGCCAAACAATACTAAACAAAAATAGCATGACAGCTTGACGCGACTTACACGTGATCTGTCAAAAAAAGGTTATTGAAAAAAGTACCTCTACGTGGATCACTCTTTACAAATTTTTATTATTGTTATAAACCTCGACCTTCAGCAAATTTTGTTTTTTTCGGGTTCGGAGTTTACCAGTACTGTTACGTTTGATGAATGTAGGGTCGTCAGCTACGTTGTCAAGTACTTATCCGATCTTTACTCAACGTAGGGTTTGCAAAAAATTGAGATGTTAACCAAAATGTGTTGAGTCGATCTGCTATCTCTCTGAGGCACACATGTCGATTTTCAAGCATTGTTTCTTTAATTTTGTCGACGTTCTCGTCATTAACAGAGGCAAGCTTTCGATGACTTCACGACCTGCACTGAATGCCTTGCGCCACTCAAATTCTTGTGTTCGTGATAAACTAGACTTCCCAAAACACAAAATTTTCAACATTTCCGTAGACATGATTTCATTGGAAACACAAAATTTCAAAAAAAACATTTTCCAAACAAATTTTTCGCGTTGTAATCAAACAGTTGCCAACACACTATAAATGACTTATGGAGAGCAAACTTTACACAAACGTAAAATAAGTTTATACCAATCTATGATCAGCTCGTGTTCAATTTGATCAAATTAGAATATGTAGATTTTAGAAGTCTAACTTTGGCCATAACAACTGCACTTTCGATGTCTATATTTACTTATATGTACGTCCGACTCGCTAGTACAAAATAAATAATAAAAAACACAAGTCAAATACATTTATGATATTTGTATATTGATTGTTTTTATTGATTTATTCAATATTATAATTAATTAAATAGCGAGAGCAAATTTAAAAGATTAACTTACTTATTACTACTACAAACGAAATGAATAGCGATTGAAGGCGAGAGAGCGCGTTTAGCAAAATATTACAGGTGTACATATATTTAGGTCTTTTTTGTTATGCTTATTCTTATAAAAATTAAATTAAACTAAAATAATTAAAAAATGTAATTAAATTGCATTAAACAAATTAGCTAATTTAAAATGAATTTTCACATGAAAAGAAAATGACTATATGCATGAAATTAAGTAGGGGTACGAAAAAAAAGTAAATTAAAAAAAAATTTTCACAAATAAATTCGCTTATTCTAAAAGCTTACATTAGAGCGATGAAAATAAATTTTCGAAAAATAAACAAAAAAAAAAAACAAATATACATATGTATGTATTTTTTATTAAATTTTTTTTTAATATAAAAATATTTTTAAAGTAGTAATAGTAGTAGCGAAAGGCAAAAAATGTGTGCAGCAAATGCGACTAATGTTAATAAATTACATATGTACTTTCATAAATATAGTATTTTCCATATATGTATATATATAATATAACATAATAATATGTTTCATTCCTTTTTTTTTTAATTTGTTGCTTGTTTTGTTTTTTTAATTTTTTAAGAGTTTCATAAATGTGTAAAATATATTATATAATAGATTCTTGCTAATATTTGAGTCATGATTTAACGTTTTCCAACATTATTATATATGTATTTGATTTGATTTATTTTTATGTCCCGTTATTTGTATTTGCTGTGCGACAATTAACTAACTGAACAATAAATTCATTACATTGAAATATTTACAAGTTTAAGTTTATTTGAAAGAAAATTGAATTTCAATAAACACTATAAATATTTTCCATTGTCTTTAATTCGAACGACACAATAACTTTTAATTTATTTTTTGTTTTATATTAACGCTTAAAGTTAAATATCAGTTTTTAAAAAATATTTAATTTTTTTGTATACATTGGATGTAAAGCCGGCAGGAAGATATGTGGATTTTTGGTTTTACATAATATGTGTGGAAGAAACAATAATAATATTTAAATTTGTATGGGGCAAAAAATATTTCTAAAATTTAGATCAAGAAAAAATTATTTTTCGAGTGTTTTTGATTAGCAAAAAGAATAAAATTTCTGGCTCGTATATGCCATGCAAATTTCAGCATATTTTGCATAATTATCTGTTTATTTTTATGGTTGAAACAGTGTAAGTTTTTCAAAACAAAAAAAAAATAATAATAATAGAATATAAATAGAGAATTTTTCAAAAAATTGCTTTACATTTTATATTTAATTGCAATTTAGTACAATTCTATTCGTTTTCGATTTACCGTTCACTTGTTAAATTTGAGTTTGGTTCTTTTATACGAAAGCAAATAGAAAAAGTACAGTTGGATTTAAAACAATTTAATATGTGAAAAAAGGATTAAAGTAGATACTTCGTTTACTTTCTTCCATCTTTATGCCAGTTGTTTGTTTGTTTCGCCACTCTACCGGATTCGGTAAATTGAATACTGCAGAAAATATATTTTATAAATTTTTGGTCGTGTAAAAACTCATAATGAGGTTGTATAGTTATATCTACAATATTTAATTAAATCTGGCTTGGCCCAAAAAAATCAGTTTGATATTTACTTTTTAGCTCAAACATTCAATTTAAATTCAGAAGTGTTTCAAAAGTAAATTTTCGAACATTTGTCGCTATGAAAAAAAATCCTTCTATGATTCTTTAAGGCATTTTGTAATAGCCTAAAAAATGCGATTTTGAAAAAAAAACAAAAACTGTATCGATTGTTCCAAACTATTTAAGGATATTAAAAATACATAATATTTTTAGAAAAAAAATTAAAATTTTTTCCAGTTACAAGTGATCTTGGATAGCGTAAAAACAAGGTTATTCACTACTGCAGTGATTCCGGATATTGTCCGTTACAAAATGATATTTGGCGTGTCAGCCTATGTCATTAAATGGAGAACTATATAAAGAACATGTAGAAAAAATTTGTTAGTATCGGAATCTTTATCTTCGAGTAATTAAAGTAATAAGTTTGAAAAGTGTAGTTTTGAGAAACAGTTTAAAGATAAATTGATTGTACTGAGTGACTACACTTTAGAAGGCTGTAACTCAGAAAATTTTTGAAATATTTATTTAAAGTTTTAGTATGGTATTTTTAAAGGTATATACTATCGAAATATAAAGATAGATTTTTTTAAAATTTCTTTTAATGTTTTCGATAGTAAATATTAACAAATATGTGCATTAAATTTAAATTGCATGAGTCAATAAGTATAATAGAAACCATAAAACCTTACAACTTTTTTCAGAATAAAGAAAAAATATGTATGTATACAAAATATTTTATGTGGGCAATTTGATTAAAAAAACTCTTTTTTATTGTGCAGAGTTTGATTATAAACAAATATTTTTTAATGTGCTGTAGTTTTTGTAAAAGTATCTTCGTAGAAGTAGAATGGAACGCAAAAAATTATTTTAAAAAAATTCAAACTTTTAAAAGAAAAATATTTTCAAAAATAAAAAAGTTAAAAAATAATTAAAAATTATTTAATTTAAATGAAATATAATAAAAGAAAATTTTTTTTGGAAAAAAAAATATTTTCAAAAAAAGGTATTAAAAAAAATTAATATTCTTCATAATGAAATATCAAAAAGAAACTTGTGCAAAAATAGCATTAAACAAATGTCACATTTTTTTTTCCAAAATTTTTTTGAAGTTTCTTCAATGACATTATTAAATTATATAAAGTTGTCTTAATTACTTCCGAGCTGCTGCCTCTTAAATTTTGTTTAAAATTTTTGAAAATTTTATTTTTGAATCATATGGATTTAAACACGTGTGACAAATTTTTGTTTTTGGGCTATCGACACAACCTTATTTCATTGAGTCATGATTCCTGAAATATGAAGTGATTGTAAAAGACAACATTTTGATATTTTCTTGCTAGTTTCTGCTGCTTTTCCGTTTCTTAAGTTTTTTGTTATTTCGCTTTTTGTGAAAGTACGAAAACATCTTTGAAAATTAAAATGAATTTCTAAACATCTACTGCTAAAGTGAAAAAAAAATTAAAAGCTTTAAATGTTTTTCCAAGCGGCTTTACATCCAATTATACTAATTTGCAAAGTATATATGTATATGTATTATTGAAAGCTTCTTCTTTGCTTGCTTGATATGAGAATGCCAACTGGCACATGTACTGCTAATTTATGTAGTGTAACCAACAGCTTAAAAAGATATACCACTTTTCTATTTTTTTTTTTTTCAATATTAAAAAGCAGCAAAGACAAACAAAATTTGGTTTCGTTACGAAAATTATCAACGCACATGCTGGCTATGCACTCAACTACTGGCCTGGCCCACGCTACATATATAACCTCGCTTGATTGACTTCACTTAAATATTAAGCTATACACTTGTACTTTATAGCCCATATGTAGGCAGATTACTTTTCGCTTTTGCTCATCCACACACAAACACACATTAATGTTGGCATGCTTAAATACTAATAAAATATATGATTTTTGTTTTGAGTTTTTTCTTTTTATAAATATTGAATGTTTGCCTTGAACGCTGCTAGCCAGTTAGCAATATTGCGAAATAAATTTGTATAAATATAGTTATATATATTTTTGTGTAACAAAATTATTTATGAAAATGTGTAAATGCTATGAAAGTTTGTTGCCGGTGTTTGTTTTCGGCATGAAATGTGCGCGTCAGAGCTTACTTATATGCTTGGGATTATAAATAGTTATAAATTTGTCAGTCAGCTTAGTTGCAAAATTATATTTTTTGTGTGTCTTATGTGATTAAAAAAAAAAGATAAATTATTGAATTTCCAGAGCTAAACAACATTTAGGCATTATGTGACTTTATTTAAACGCCGTTAAACGCATCATAGACCGGGGTAGATAATTTCTGAAAGCAAAAAAAAATTATAGTAGGTTGCAAAACATTCAAAAACTAAGATAAATTAAAAGAAATATAATTTATAGGCGATCTGTGGTCTGTAGGAGGAAGGAGATGGTTGAATTTTTTTTTCACATAAGCTCAAAATTTATTTGAAAAATTAAAATCACTAAGGTTTTAATACTTTTATTTTGATATTGTACAAAAAATTTCTTTTTCACGAAATTTGGCGTAAGCTTACCACCTTATGCTCCAAAAAATATTTTCTTTTCGGCTGTTTTTGACTTAATAATGAAAAAAAAAAACACAAATTTTCTAACAAAAATTCTCAGTTCAAAATATTAATTTTTTTAAAAGGGCAGTAAGCTTTATATTCGTTGAAATCTCTGCCTTGAGTTGGTATAAACAATTTTCATTATTGTACGAGAAAAAAATAAAAAAAAACCCCAAAAACTCGGTTATTATAATTTTTCACATACACCTTGAGGTTATATGTAAAAATTGTTGGTACGAAAAATGTAGCTCTTTTCATTATCTACAACTTTGCCATAAAACTATTTTCTATGAATTCGTAGTTATAGCGGAAATCTAGATTAACTAATTTAACCCTTAAAAACTCAACCTTTCCTTCCTCTATCCGACCTAAGGTCGGCCGCCAAAATATTTTTTTTTTCGTTTTTGTTATTTTATCTTTCTTTTGCAATGAATTTCAACCTGCTATGAATTTTTTTTTTAACTTTTTACCATTTTCAAAAGCTCGGCTTATCAAAAGTGTACTCGCTTACAGTAGCGCTTATAGTACACACACCGGTAGCAGTAGCTCTTTATTTGGGGGTAAATACTTGCGTACATTTATTACATATTATTTTAATAATTTAATATGTTTCACAGTATACACTTTTTTGTTAGCAACTTTTAATATTTATATATATTTTTGTATTTATTTCTTTACATACTTAAATTACAATGCGACAAAAAGACAATAATGATTAATTATATTAAAAGTAGCGTGCTAAAAGCGCAATATTTCATATTAATTTTAAGCGAAAACTAAAAACGAAACAAATAATTAAAACCATTTTGATTTATTCACTTAACTTACAACTAACTATTTTTTATTATTAATCAAAGAATTTTAGAATTTCTTTTTTTAATTAAATATTTTTTATGTTTTTGTTTTTGGGTTTACTTTCGAAAAGGTAAAAAGTTATAGTAGAAATTATAAATATATTACTTCTCATAGCAATAAAACTTAAAATAAAAATAAAAAAAAAGTTTTTGTAAATATATAATATTATGCTTACATTATATAAAAAATCGCACAAATGCCATTGATTATGTGGGTGTGTCTACAAGGGTAAGTGTGTTTGTGTAAATTTTGTAGTTTTTAGCAATTTCTTTCCTCTATTTAAATTTCCTTACATTAGCTATATACTTATGTACATATATAGGCATGTCTTATATACTTTAACAAGCAATTCTTTAAAATTTAAAATATTTAGTTTGCCTTCATCAACTTTATAATATTTTTTTTGCACTTCTTGCTGTCAGCATTTACATATATGTTTATATATATTATATATTACTTTCTCTCATTTGGCTACTTTGCTTTAGTCTCTGTTAAATATATACGAAAATAAATATTTGTGTATATTACGTTCAAAAACGGTGGTGGCATCTGGCGGAGTAGGCTTTTTTTGTTTGCATTTCACTTTCAATGGACGACAAAGTTTCATTTAGCATCTCATTACCGAATAGGAAGAACAGATTGGTTTATATTGTGGGTATAAATAATTTGCAGTCAATTTGGTTTTTAGTTTGTTGTTTTTTGTTGTTGTTCTAAAATAGTTTGGTTGTCAGTTATTTGCATTTTTAACACAACCAAAAAGTAGTTTTGGCATTTTTGGTTTTTTATTCTAAACTGAAAAGAAAAGAAATAGGCAATTGAGTAAAAATATTTCAAGAACATTTTTAACATACCATACATATGTATAAACATAAAAACATATTTTTAAACAAAAAAATTAATTACTATTTTTTTTGTACGAACAATTTTTACTGAACTTTTTTTTTAAAAAAATATTTTGTACTAAATTTTTTTCTTTTTATTAAAGTATTTGTTTGTCCTTATGCTATTTTTGACACAGTATATGTTGAGTTAAGCGTTATTACCGACAGAGAGAGAGAGAGTTAAAAATAGAGAGTTTCAGTTGAAAATATGTAAACCCTTCCATATTTACCCCTTTACATTTCAAATTTTGTTTTGAAAAATAAATATAAAATTTGGTTGAAATTGGTCTAGCAGGTGCCGAGATATGGGTTTTCACCTAAATATGGGCAGTGTCACTCCCGTTGTCGAATTTTGATATTGGCTTCTATAAAGCTTTTTTGTATCATCTCGTGTGCAAAATTTAGTGCTTTTATTTATTGAGTTATTGCACTTTCAGTAGTTTTCAACTAAACCGTTATATGAGGAGTGGGCGGGGCTATAATCCGATTTCAACCGTTTTTACACTCTCGAAGGATAAGCTAAAAATATTTACTCTGAGCAAGTTTTTTTTGATTTAGCTTAAGGGGTTTGGGAAATTCGTACATTAAATCTATTAGAGGCCACGCCCACTTTTTAAAAATTTCCCTAGCAAAGGTGCCTCTCACCACTGCAATCCCCTGCATCAAATTAAAACTTTCTAACTCAATCTGGAGCTTAGTTGTAGCCCTTTCTAGGATTTCGATTAATAGCGTTTGATGGGCGGGGCAATGGTCCGATTACAACTCTCCTTGGAAGAGAAAGAACATATGTACCAATTTTCATCAAAATATCTCAATTTTTACTCAAGTTAGAGCTTGCACAGACAGACAGACGGACAGACTGACATCCGGATTTCCACTCGTCTCTTCATCGTGATCATTTATATAGTTATATATAACTCTATATCTGACTCGATCAGTTTTAGGTGATACAAACAACCGTTGGGTGAACAAAACTATATACTCTTTAGTAACATTTTACAAGAGTATATAAATTGGAAACTTAATTTTTAATACCGAAATTGGAACAAGGAAATCAAATTCAATCACTGAAATTTAAAAAACGGAATTAACAAATTTTTAATTCTGAAACTGGAATTAAGAAATGAATTTTTAATCCTTAAAAATTCAAAAACAGAATTACAAATTTGGAAATTTTTATTTACTCCAAAATCAGAATTAAAAATTTATAAAATATTTTTTGATTAAAAAATGAAGTAACATTGAGCTATAGTATAAAACATAAATATACAAATAAAATGGGTTTGCGTTTGCAATACTTACTCTAAAAATTATACATAATCTCAAAACATGTTTTTCAAACATTTTACTGATTCATATTTGATGGTGGCGACATTGTTGGGCACATTGGGCATTTGTTGTTGCCATCAACGAAATTCGGAGTGCCGCCTGTAAGATGAAAACACACATTAAAAAATACAGCACAAAAAGCACAAATGAAAATAATTTTAAAAAAATTTAAGTAAAAAAAAATTTTCTTAAACAAAAAAGAAAATCTTTGCGTTTTTATTGACTTGACTTGCTCACTTGCTTACTAACATATTGCTGTTGTGTTGTTTTAACCATTACTTGCCAACACATAAATTTATTGCACTGTTTTTTTTTTTGCTCTGTCCTTTCACTTTGTACCCACTTGCACCCACTCACGTGTGTTGACTTACCATGCATATTGGAATGTCGTGTGTGCGCTGGATGCATCAGCGGCGCAACCATGGTCTCACCACAATGCAAGCGCGGGTAAGGCGGTGGCGGCAGTGGTGCCGCACTTGTCGCATTCGCGTGATACATGCTATTGGCGGCATTGTGTGCGGCACTGCGCAACATGTGATACGGTGGCGGTGGTGGTATCGGTGTAGTTGGTGTACTGCTATTGCTGCCGCTACTACTATTACTGCTGCTGCTGCCAGCGCCGCCGCTTCCGCTCAAATTGCGTGCTGCCGTATTGGAGATTTGCTGCAGCAGTCGACAATCGGCGGCGGTGTAAACCGAGCTACTAGTGTCATGTTGTTGCGCATATGAGCCGTGTCCGCTGTCGCTGGATGACACCGAGCCTATGATGGATGGTGATGATGTGATAATATATGTATATGTGCAAAGTGCAGTGTACGTGTAGTGTTGTTGCATATAAGTTGTTGTTGTTGTCGTTGTTGGCACGTCAGCGGCATTGTGTTTAATTGCAGCGTGTTATTTTATCCAATGTTTTGTTGCATTTGTTTTTGTTTTGGTTTTTGGTGTTTTTTTCGTCGTTTGGTTGTTTTTGGTGTGAAATAATGATGAGACAACAGAAAATTATGTATTGTAAACTAAAAAAAGTTAAAAATTGTTCAAATACCCAACTACAGTTGCGTCTCAATTTTTGCAAAACTACAGTGTAAGAATGTATGTAAACGTGTTTACGTGTGAACGTAGTGGTTGTGTGTAAGCCGACACGCTGTTATACATATTAAATTAGATGATCAGCGTCTACATACGTTTCGGGAATGGAAGGGGGAAAAAAGCCAAAATAAACAAAAGAATAGTAAACAATAAAAATAAGAGCAAATTATAATCACACACCTATAGTAGTAATATATATGTACATATGTATGTATGTAGCGATGTTAGTATGCAAAAGTTGGGTATTGAAATTTTTAAAACAACTTTTCTAAATAAAATATTTACTAATAACTGGCTCAAAATTGTGTTTGATAATGTTTTGGTTAAGTTTGCCTTCATATTTTGAATTTGAAATTTGGACTTGATTTTGCAACTGGAGGATCACCAGAAAAATTTTGTATCAAAACTTGATATTTATTATTATTATAAAATTCCTAATACTTTTTAATACTATTTTTTTCACATTTTGGTAATTGAAAGATTTTTATAGAAGAATTTGCACCGCTGTACGAAATTTCTAATCTTGGAATGTATGAACAAACAACATAAAATGGGGGAAATTTAATTATATTAAATTTAATAAGCAAGTTTTGTGTAAAGAAACAATTTTTTAAAAACTATTTTATAAGAATTTAAAAAAATAAAAGATGTCAGTCTGTTACATCTCTTAAACATTTTACGAAAGAATATTTGCTTAACATTTATCTACGGTTCCACAACAAATGTAGTTTAGGGAAAGTATTTCTTTGACATATTTTCGTAACTGTTAGTCGTTTTCAGGGGTTGACATTTTCTTGCTTGTTGTAAGCCTCTTTCCGGTCGAACAACATCATTAATTAGTACAAGCCATTAGGTAACAAAAATCTCAAGTTATAAACATACAATAGCCAAATATTAAGAAAACTCTTTAGTTCGAGAAAAAAAATAACAAAAAACAAGTAAGGAAGGGCTAAGTTCGGATGTAACCGAACATTTTATAATCTCACAAAGTCAAATGGTATACTCTTTTGAGATTTCTTTGTGGATTGGCTGATATTTTCGGTAGAAGGTCAACTATAGGCACTGGGGTCCACATATTTAGTACTTAGGGGCTTAAACAGTTTTGGTTCGATTTAGACAATTTTTGGCCACAAGGTGGCATACTTTAATCGCATTATTCACGCAAAGTTTTATCCCGATACAGTCATTGTTGCCTGATTTGCATAGTGGAAAGTGAAAAAATCAGATGGAATTTAAAATGGTGTTATATGGAAAGTAGGCGTGGTTGTAGTCAGATTTCGCCCATTTTTGCACTGTGACATAGAAACATGAAAAGAACGTTATGCACCGAATTTGGTTGAAATCGGTTAAGCAGATCTCAAGATATGGGTTTTCACCTAAAAGTGGGCTGTGCCACGCCCACTGTCTAATTTTGAACGCGGTTCCTATAAAGTCATCTCATACCATCCCAGAGATAAAATTTAATGACTCTGGCGTGTTTAGTGCTAGATTTATCGCGCATTTAGTAGTTTTTAACAGTACCGTTATATGGGGAGTGGGCGGAGTTGCCACCCGATTTCAACTATTTTCACACCGTCAATAGAAGTGCTAAAAATATTTGCTTCCAGTGAATTTTGTTATTATAGCATTAGCGGTTTAGGAGATATGCACATTAAACCTATTAGAGGCGGGACCACGCCCACTTTTTTAAAAAATTTTTTAACTGCAGATGCCCCTCCCTAATGTGATCCTGTGTACCAAATAACAGTCTTGTATCTTATTGCGGAGCTTAGTTATGGCAAGTTATTTGTTTTTGATTAATGGCGTTTTGTGGGCGTGGCAGTGGTCCGATTACGCCCATCTGCAATACCAACCGTCTCACGGTACCATGAAACATGTCTACCAAGTTTCATAAAGATATCTCAATTTTTACTCAAGTTAGAGCTTGCACGGACGGACGGACAGACGGACAGACGGACGGACAGACGGACGGACGGACAGACAGTCACCCGGATTTCAACTCGTCTCTTCATCCTGATCATTTATATATATATAACCCTATATCTAACTCGATTAGTTTTAGGTGATACAAACAATCGTTAGGTGAACAAAACTATTATACTCTGTAGCAACAGGTTGCGAGAGTATAAAAAGAAAAAACAAGAAAAAACGTTAACTTCAGCTACACCGAAGCTATAATATCCCTCACAGGTACGTTTCCTATAGCATAAAAGGATATAAAAACAACTTTTTTTTTTTACTTTTAACTTGATTTTGATCGGTCAGGTTGTATGACAGCTATATGCTGTAGTGGTCGGATCTGAACATTATATTCGAAAATTTCTTCGTAGATTGTACCGTTGCCTTGGACAATACTCTCTGCTAAATTTTGTGAAGGTATCTTGTCATATAAGAAAGCTCTTCATATAGGGACTTGAATTTGATCGTTCAGTTTGTATGGCCGCTTAATGCTATAGTGATACGATCTGAACATTATATTCGAAAATTGTAGAATTGCTTTAGACAATAATCCGTGCCAAATTTCGTAAATATATTTTGTAAAATAAAACAGTTTTCCATACAGGGACTGGATTTTGAACGATCAGATGGTATGATAGCTATATGCTATAGGGGTGCGATATCGGCCGACGTGGTTAAATAAAAAAAAAAATTTGAACTATCATCGTCCGTTAACCAATAAAAGTTTATCTCGATTGAGCAGTATTCTTCATTTGTTCCAGGAAAATAACTTATTAATTAAAAAGTGGAAGCAATTTCAATACGCCTTATAAACTATAACTTTTATGTGAAATTTTTTTAGCTATAATTTTGTATTTTTTTGATCAAAATTTTGAAACAATGAACCTTTAGTTGGTTGGAACGTACTTAACACAACTGCTTAAATTTTTTTAGTGAAAAGAGCAGCTGTTCAGAACTCATAAATTTCGAAAACTAAAATAAATTTTTTTTAAATTTTTATGATGAATTTAGCGTCAGGCTACCTAATACCGATTGCTCATTAAGCGCCAACACCAGAACATGCAAATTGATTAAGTTCTTAAAACCGTTTTGTAAAAATTCAAAATTCTTTATAATTAGTTTTTTTGCTGTTGTTGTACAAAAAACCTTTTCGCCAATAATTGTGGCTCAAAATTTTTGTAAAGCTTTACATACATCTTTATTGAAATATAATATAATATAAATAATTATTTTTTCTACTTTCACTGCAAAAATATTTAATAGTTATTACCTTAACCAGTTCTTTAACCGTTTACCTAAATGGAAGCAAGCTACTGCTGAGAACTTAAACTTCAAGCCACTAATACTTTTCAATACTAGATTGTTGTTAGTAAGCAAGAAAGGAAGTTAAGCAATACGAGTTGTGATAATAAAATTCCGCTCAACCAAAAAAATATTGCATAAAAAAAAAGCAAAAGAACTGTTGCTTACCCGAAGTCACAGATTTGCGCAAAGGCAAGTCTCGAAATGTGGTAACGCTACTGCTTTCGGCTGAGAGATCAACAGATGGTAGTGGTGGCGTTGGCGTATCCGAATTTGAACGTTCATGTATGGCCCGAACGGGTACCATATTACCTGTGTGTGAATTGCAAATTGATTAGTATAAAAAGTAAATGGAAATATATTGCAGTATTGACTCACCTGCAGGCATTGAATTGCTGCCGGATGCCAGACGTCGATGCGTACACGGACTTGGCGTTGTGGAAGTGCCAGCTGCGGCAGTTAAAGGCATGCCCGCTGGGGTGTTGCTGTACGCATGCGCAAGTATATGATGCGGTGTATTAACTAGCAGTGGTGGCGGTGGTGGTGGCATGCCTGAATGACGCGCTGTAAACGGTTGATGTGGACGCACTTTTGTCGGATCGGATAGCGCCAGTATCTTTTTGACGGCTTGCGGTGAGGCGATGCCAAATTTTGAGTTGTTATTGAGCGCCATATTGCGACGATTATGATGATCGCTGGTCGACGATGTTGAGCTGGTGGTGGAGAGTGTTGGCGACGAGGGAGGACGTTTGCGCAGCGACAATGATGAATTCGGTGCCGATGAGGATGATGTGTGCGAATAGATGCTGAGCTGATCACCGCTACGTGTCGAAGAGTTGCCGGTGCCATCACGGCCCAAACCGCTTTCACCGCGTGTACTACCGCTGCTGCCACCATGTGTTTGTGAATTAGATGCTGGTTCGCATTCAAGCGAGAATTTGTGCAGTGCATCCTCATCGCTGATGATTTTCAGATTATTCAGGTATGCCTTGACGCGACGCACCATTTGTGCCTCTTCGAACATTTTCTTTGGATTCGGTGCCGCTGTCGACTTTTTGCGACGTTTAATAGTCGATTGGCCAGCGTTGGCGGCGATAACGGTGCTGTGTGTGCCACCGGCATTTTGTGAAGTGGACAGCTGATTGAGCGAGAAGAGCGCATTCGAGGGCGATTGACCTTTAAGTTCGAGTATGGCGAGCAGATCGTAGGGGGAAGAGCACATATGCGTGAGTAGACGCACCTCCTTGGCGAGCATACGTAATTTTTCAAAGTTTATGAGACCTTCAATGCGCGTGTCATTGCCCAGATGAATGAAGGTGAGATCCTTCTTCACAATCGGATAGAACGGTATGATGGGATGTTGTGCGAGCAGTTCGGAAGAGACAAGTTGGCGATATTTGGACATATTGCGTGAGGGGTCCATGAGATCTTGCAAATCGGAGAAGAGCCGTTGATATTTAGAAGGCAGTTTTTCCCAGGTAAGACGCAAGCGTGACACAGCCGCATGTCCGAGTCCAGATATAATGGCGAACATGGAATTGAAATTGCGACACTCTTTGCAGTGACGTGCAATTTTTATGAATTGCTTAACAATTTTCATGCGACGCACAATATTATGTTCGCCGCAGATCTCTGTGACGACCCAAAACATTTCACGATTAACGAGTTCGGCAAATTTTGTTAACATTGGCACACCATATTTCGTCTTCAGATTGAACAGATCATCGATATACTCAGTCGATTCGATTTGCCGAAAGATGGCGAAGTCTTGCAGTGTCAATTGTATGGCCAATTCATAGGCGTTCAGCTGCAGAAAATGCACACTTGACTCACGCACCAACTCGAGCGCCAATTCGTCGGGCACCAGCGTTTCAGTGCTGCCGTTTGTTTTCAAATAGTAGCGCGCTGCAAAACCAATACGTTCGGCTAAGTTCTGCAGTTGATCGGGCAGGCGACGTTGTTTTACCATGCCACCTTCACCGACGCTAACCTCACACAGCGAGTAATTCGAGCTGGGGTCATGTATGCCGAACTCTTGCAGCGCCAACATAACAACTTCGTGCGCCGTCGTCTCCTTATTGATGAGCAAATATTTGCACGACTGATCTGCCTTGAAGACTTTCAACACATGCTCGGGGTAATCAGGCAGCATAGCGGAGCTTGTTGTGGAAACGGCTGATGGCCGATGCATGGAGGCAGTCAGATAGTTGGGAGTTGGCGTAGGTGCTGTAGCAGTGCTGGTTGTTAGAGAAGTGGCGTCTTCGTACAGCAGTGACGAGCTCAAATCCGGATTGGATTGCGATTGGTAAAGGCGATTGCCACCGCCAACACCGCCGCAGGTAGATGAGGAACTGGATGAGGAAGCGGTCAGTTTGCCGGCTTTTTGTGACATCGTTTCCGTGGGCGTGGCTATATCGACTGAATCATTCAAACCCGCGCCACCGATACTTTTGTGCTGCAGCAAATTCATTTTCGCTAATGCTTTTTGTATACGTCGCCTTGGCGCAAGCGTCATAAAACCACCACCTTTGGAACCACCACCACCGTCATTGCAATTGGCTTGGGAGTCCTTGCGCGCCGATGCATTACTAACACTTTGCAAAAGATTCGACATAAAATTACTGGCCATATTACCACCGCCGCTATTCGGCTGTTGCGGCATTATCGGTGGTGGCGTCGCTGGCGGACAACAGTCCGTTTGGTCTGTGGGCAATAGCATATCGACTGAGCTGAGTCGCAACATATGCGAACGATTTGCAGTGGTCATATCGTCCAACATGCAGCGTCCATGTAACTTGGCAATGTCGTTGGCGCATATCCGACGTGGACTGCGTAATGATTTGCTGCCGAGTGAGCCGCCGCTGCTGCCGCTGCCACTACCGATAGGCGTGCCGGCACCATTGCTGCCACTGCTACCATTGCCACCTTGTTCAATGGCTAACATCATCTCTTTAAAGCCAAGCAGATTGCTTTTCACCGTTATACTCAGATGTGTGCTACCCATTAGTATTTCCATTGCACGTTTACTCGTCACATGTTCGAAGGACTGACCGTTCACCTCGTGTATTTGATCGCCACGTTTTAGACCCACATCCTGCGCCTTCGAAATGGGCACTACATGTGCTATGTATATGCCACAACCGCCAACGCCAGTCGCCGCCGTAATGCCGCGCATCTCATAACCGCCGATAATATTGAAATTTAATGGTTCATCACGTGACGAACGTGTCAATGTACAACTACGCATGCGCGCTTTGGCCGCGCACGCTATGTGTAGCAAACGCAGTTGACTCAGCAGTCGCGTATGCTCCAAACCAGCCTCGAATACCTCCAGGAACTCCATCATTTCATGATCAGCCTCAAAGTCGGTAAAATGATTGTTAACCCATAGCAAGACAACGCGTGTCACGCGATCGCGTATCTCTTGTGGCGATGCAGTGCTACCCTTTGGCGGCTCGGCATCACACTCGAACCAGGCGAGCAATTTTTGTGTTACTTCTTGTGGATTTTTGATGAAAATACGTTGTGTGAGCAAAAAATCCTCCACATATGTCGGATCAGTCATTGAATTCTCCTCCACCAACTGTTGCAGCAAACGTTCGGGTGTGCCGCGTATCACGACATGTCCACGTTTCATGCCTGCGGCACTTGCGGCGGTCGCATTACTGCCCGCGGTACCATGTTCATTACTGCCGATTTGACGCAATTCGGTGACCATCACTATACGCCCGTCCTCATCTTCGTGTCGTCGCGTATTCTCCTCACCCTGATGCTGTATGCGATAGTAATCGGTTTGCGTTATGCAAACGAATTGACAATCGTCACATTTGGTGCGCATTACGCCACGGTGATATAGCTTATCCATGGTGGGTAGTATGCCAAAGGAATCACCCATTTGCAGTTCTTCACGCGTGCCATTCGCATGCTCGATCTCCACGGCGCCATTAATAAGCACCGACCAGGAATCGAGCTCTTCACCATCTGACATTACCACAGTGCCAGCCTTATCGACTACAGCAAACACCATGACGGCGCAGAGTGCGCGTCGCACCGCCAACGTGATATTGGTGAAGGCCTTCAAACCTTGTGTGAATTCGAGCAGTATTTCGACATCTTCCTCTGTGCGTTCGGAGGGATCTTTCTCCAGGCAATCACGTACCGCATCGCGCACATTTAGACTCTAATAAAGTACAAATATTAGCATTTATAAGTTTTTTGTGAAGTTTGAATGCAACTCACATCCATGCTCTCCGCCAAGTCCTCCTCATCGGAGTCCACCACTGACTCCACCAAACCGGACAGATCAATCTCCTCCGCATCCATTGAGGAGCCGTATACGGATGCCATTGTATCGCTGCCACTATACGCTGAGCTTGTGTCACTCGAATGAGAGCCGCGATTGCATTTTTGTTGCAATTCGGGACGCGTGGGTGGATACTGCGGTATAAAAAACATATATTAATAATTTTAAAATATATATATAGGGTACATTAAATTTGTCACGAAGTTTGTTACACGCAGAAGTAAACGTCGGAGGCACTATATAATACAATATGTACAATACATATATTATACATATAAATTATCAATGTTATGAAAATTTTTTTATTTGATAATGTATCTTTACGAGATTTGACATGGATTATTGCTTCAAGCAACAGTATAATCTCCGAAAAAATCTCGGATCGGACCACTAAAGCATATAGTTGCCATACAAACTGAACGTTCAAAATAAAGTGCTTGTATGGAAAACTTTTTAATTTGTCGGGGTATCTTCACGAAATTTGACTTGACTTATTATCCAAGACAAGGGTACAATCTTTGAACACATTGTTTAGATCGGACCACTATAGCATATAGTTGCCATACAAACTGAACGTTCAAAATTAAGTGCTTGTATGGAAAACTTTTTTATTTGCCAATATATCTATTTGTATAGCGTATTATTATAGTTTCGGTGCAACCGAAGTTCACGTTATTTCTTGTTATTGGTCAATAAAAAATACTTACATGATGTCTGATATGATGATATGGATCCATTAGTTGCCAACCAAAATCACTTTAGCTGTTAATATTGTCGCAAACTTGGCATTTACGGTGCCACTAATGTAAATATTTACTGTTTTTTTCTAAATTTATGCGTTTTCTAATGCAATAAAATATATTATGATTATGTTGCTGATGTGCTTGTCGCTGTTGTTGGCCACGTTGATAACGTGTATGCATTAAAATTGTGTCTGATATGTATTTCACTTTATCACACACCTACGGCTAAGTTAGGCTGGAAGTGCGTTAAGCTTGAAAATGCTCTGCACAGCGCTCTTGTCGAACTTTTCACACGCAATTATATGTATATTTGTACATATGTTTGTATGTTTGTATGTATATATGTGTATATTGCAGTTAATATGCAGATGACTACGACTACGTTGGAGACTCAAGACTTTCTTCAGCAGTTCTTGCACTTCTTCAAGTATGCATGTGTGTATATACATATGTGTATATGTTTAATACTAAGCTGCTGCTGCTGCTGCTGTTGTTACGGCCATCATTGTCGGTTTTAATTTCCACTTATAGCTTTGCTTTAGTCGGTTTTTGTTATTATTTGCTGTTGTTGTTGTTAGTTTATATTGTTTACTTTCTAGGGCGGCATTCAGCAGTCAGTCAGCAATCTGTCTGACCGTCGACTGTTTATTTGAAGCGCTGCGAAAAATACAAAATAAATTGCTTTCAATTAATAAACACATACAAAAAATCATACATATATAATACATTAAGTTGCTAAATAAATACATAATATGATTATTGTATAATAAATTTATTTGGGCGCATGATACAGACAGTACCGTCAAATTGCATTGCTGATGGGAGTCATAATTTACAATACCATTGAGGAAGCAGTGCGATAATGGTTAGCAATATCATAATAGCGCTTAAATAAACCAATAAATGTATGCCCACTTGCGGCTGCAGCCGTAACAGTACCACCCACACTCAAGTTTATAGGGTATAAATACATACTTGCGTGCTTTAGTGTGTGCCTAGCTGCTGTTTCCATTGTGGTACACACGCTTAACATATAACTACACACACACACATACAAGTACAAATTTGTCAGGCCCTATATTGCTTATTTGTCTGGTGCCACTTGACTGCCTGCACAGCGATGCCATGCAACGAATACACACATCTCTCCTTACAACACATCAGGAGGCCATCTTCCATTCAGCGTCAACATTGATTTGCATTTTTCCGTTTTATCACAAAAGCAACATTCTTGTAATACCAAATAGCAAAAAAAAAAAAAAAAAAACACTGACAAAACATAAACTTTGGTTGCACCGAAGCTATAATACCCTTCACAAATAAAAAAGTTTACCACATAAAATGTTGATTGATTTTGATCGGTCAGTTTGTTTGGCAGCTATATGATATACTTGGCTGATCTGATCGATTTGTTCGGGAATTGTACCGTTACCTTAGTCATTAATACATGTAAAATTTCGTGAAGATATCTTGACAAATAAAAAAGTTTACTCTACAAGGACTTCATTTTGTTCGATCAGTTGATCAGCTTCTTAAAGAGAAAAGAACGTGTGTTAAATTTCCGTTCGATATCTTAAAAATTGAGGGACTAGTTCGCGTAAATAAAGACGGACAGACATATAGAGATGGCTAAAACGACTCAGCTTGTCACGTTAATCAATTATATATCTATTTAATAGCGTCTCCGACGATTTCTTTGGAGTGTTACAAACTTGGTGGCAAACTTAATTAACCCTGTTTAGGGTATAAATGTATGTATATATATACTTATATCTATATACATATATATATATATGTATGGAAAAGTATGTGCTCCACATGAGACGCAGTTGACTGGAGTATAAGATCACAGGAAGCTCAGTGCGCCAAGTGTGTATTGTTGTCGGTCAGTGACAATTAGGGCATGGCAAAATACCGGCTAACAACAACTTTGTGAACTGTGAAGTTTTCAAATGCTGCTAAGAGTTATTTCAATTGAATATTGAATCACATCTACTTTGGTGTTGCTGTTGTAATGATATTCGAAACCCGCTTAGATGCATCATCTTTGTTGTCAGTTGTCAGTTTCTTAAGGAAGTAATGAATGGAAGTTTATGTTCTTCATTGGTGATTCTGGTTCAAAGGAGTTCTGAAGTTTGCTATATTCCTACAAGATTTGTTATGCTGTACCAACCCGATTTGTGAACATATTGTCATTCTCAGTGATGGTTAAGCGACGCTTCAGACAATCTCGTCTGTTGAAATCATATTGACAATAGTACTGAAGTGCATCAAAATGCTTAACAGGCTTGGCATGAATAATAATAATGGATTAATAGATAAAGGATGAATCCCTGACCATAAGGATATCAAAGTCAATGAGCTTACCGACCTACCAGCGAAAGCCCAAACCCATAGTACTGGAACCTTTCTTCACTGTGGGATTCATACATTACAAGAGGTGTAGAATAAGGAAGCAAATGCACGGACTTCGGCATGCGAAACTGTTTTTCAATACAAAAAGTTTTAAGCTACAAATTGTTCTCTCCAAAAACAAATTAAGGTAGCTAGTCGGGTCCCTGCAGGCTAAGGTGTCATATGCGCAAGTTCCGATACTACTCTACAAATCTATGTCAATTCTGTAATCATGCGGCAAAATCACCGGAACATATACTGCTTGATTGCCCCGCAATCGCAAGAAGAAGGAGTCAAGCTATCGGGACAATTAATTCAATGAGAGAGCATATCACATCCATTCATCTTTGATTCAACGTGGTTAAATGAAGAGATGTGTGGTCGCAGTGTGGTCTTTATCTAATCTATAATTTTATTGAATTCGTGCACCTGGTACAAGGTGTCTCCGGGAATTTGGGAGAGAAGAAAGTTAATCGTTTTACCATTTTAATTCGACGAGGGTTGTTTTTGCCGCGAAACCCTGTTTAAATCAACGAATAGAACTTAGTAAATTAGGGGTAGTGTTTTTCTCCAATGAAAACTATATAAAGAAAACTTTTTATGATAAAATTATATCTTTCTCAAACATAAAAATATGTTAAACAATAGAAAATGCAGCTTAACAATTATAATGGGCAGTCCTTAGGCGAATATACTAAATCCGATTCGTTTAGAATAAATAGTTTCGACTGTCAGATGTTATCTTGCCAACATTCTCTCAAACGTTTAAAGTGACTACAACAACAATACTAAAGATTGCAAAATACTATCAATTATAAGAACTTTTATTAATTCACAATATTTAAATAAAATTTTACTTCTAACTTTTTTACTTCACAAATATCCAAATTTGAAATGTCAAATTATAAGAACTTTTATTATTTCCCAATATTTAAATAAAATTTTACTTCTAACTTTTTTACTTCACAAATATCCAAATTTGAAATGTCAAATTAATTATCCAATTGAGCACACTTTCAAATTATAATAAAGAGTTGCACGTGATTATTTAACTTCAAATTGCGCAACGCGTTTGCGTGAATCGCCTTAGAAGAGACTACATAAGAGATTGAGTAAAATAATTATTGCATTAATTACCTTTAATTGTTATTATGCATTTGTATTTTTATTGATAATTACAATATAATTGTAATATGTGGGAAATTCAATTTTGCAATTATTCGTAAGAAGTTCAAACGGTGATAAAGCAAATATTTACATACATACATACATATGTAAGTGCATAAGAATAAGTATTTAAATAATGATTGAAAAAAAACTTGAGAAATATTCAAATGATGATAAAACAAGTAAGGAAGTTCAAAGTTCGGGTGTAACCGAATATTTTATACTCTCGCAACTTGCAAGCATCAAAGCCCGGGAAATTACTTCAGGTGTTGGCAAAATTTTATATTAAAGAAAGTATTGATCCGATTCAACCAATTTTTGACACAAAGACATACTATTATCGAGAGTTTCATTTACTTATTTTCTGATATGAATTTCAATTATATATCTGACACATTGACCGATATTTTCGGTAAAAAATCAACTATAGGCACTGGGGTCCACAAATTCAGTTTTCGTTCGATTTAGACGATTTTTGGTCACAAGGTGGCATACTTGAAACGAATTATTCACGCAAAGTTTTACCCCGTTGCAATTATTGTTGCTTGATTTGCATAGTGGAAAGTGAAAGTTATATGGGAAATAGGCGTGATTGTAAACCGATTTCGCCCATTTTCGCAAAGTTATCCATACATACCACCCTGTATGGGCGGTTCCGACAAATTGGACTGATCAATTTCAACTGCACGTGCAAAAAGAATCGATAAATTTTTTTTCAAGATTAATACAACCTTTTTTAATGTTCGTGTGAAGTTAAAACTCCATTAGTGGGATCTCAACATCGCGCATAGATCAACTCAACACATGTTGGTTAATATTTTAGGTATGAAACGTGTCTATGCTAGTCTCATAATAAAAGACCTGAATATTTTGCAGAAACGACGTCGAAAAGAGATACCTGACAACGAAGCTGAGGACCCTATATTTATCAAACGCACCATTACTGGTGGCGAGACGAAGTTTTATGAACAATCTTGTGAATGGCCGAAAACGAAACAATTAAAGACATGGAAGGCACTGATGGCCATCCCAGCAGATGCTTATAACAACTGAATGGATTAAGCGTTGGAATCAGGAATCTATTTTTAAGATGATTAATATATTAAAAGTATTAAAATGCGTTAAAATGTATTTTTTTTGGCAGTCCAGGTCATTTTTGATCAGATAGCAGATTGAAAAAATATATATTTATGATGTTTCCTGTTTATAGTACGTCGCTATAGAGTCAAACACAACATCACACTCTTTTCTTTTGAAGAAAACGCGGAGGTCGTGTAAAAGTTTCAAAACAATATTTGCTTTCCAAAAAAAAAAAAAAAATAATAATAATAATAATAAAAGATATAAAGTAGGACAGCAGACTCGCTAGCTCTCTTTGACATTTGCCGAAACTTGAATATAAAGTGTGTGAAAAATTGGATTGATTTTATTTTTATTAACAAATTGGTTACAAACTTTATAATTATATAAACTACAATAATTTGGACTAATAAAACTTCCTTTAACGTTAAATTGATGCCTTGAAATCACAATTTAAACTTTATTGTCACATTGAAAACGCCCATACATACATTTATCTCGAAGTATAAATAGCTGTATATACATATATAATTTAAATTTACAAATAAATATATACAAACGTATAAATAGCAACAGAAATTTTTTAAAATTTTAAGCATATCACATGAAAAAATATGTAATACGACTATCTGACAGCGCAACTCTTCGTTTTTTTATTTATTATGACATACGAGTGGGCGCTAATAAGCTGGACTTTGTATATTTGGACAGGCAGCGCCAAATAAAAATTGCGAACAACAGACGTTTAGACAGCTTTCTTACTTTCCTTTTTGAATTTTTAAGCACAACGACTAAATTGCGATACACAAATTATTTGATACACAGATGTATGCATGTACATGTGTTTATATGTATATATTCGTATATTTTGAGCGCTTCATAGTTTATTAGATAGCTTGTGCAATATTATTTTATACTCACATACAGAAAATATATACATATATTTGTAAGTACACACATGTTTATCTACATGTGCATGTACTTAAAGTAATCACTTTATATTACGCTAGTACCAACTAGTACAATATTATATCGGATCACATGTATCAGCACGCGAAAATTAACCGCGCGCGCTTGTATTCAATCGGATTCTTTGTACAACTGAGTTTTATACTACATTGACAGACTGACAAGCAAGGCTATTTAGTCGGACATGCATGGAAAATATGGGGGAGATAAAATATAAAATTGAAAAAATATAAAATAAAAATCTGTTTAGAAATGTTCACATACTCATATAAAAAATGTGTGTATATACACGCAATATGTATATAAAAGTGTGTGACATTTGTAAATATATAGTTCGACAAGCCAGCAATATGCAAACAATTTAAATATTATGTTTTCCTTGTTCTTCCGTACTGATAACGCACAATAACTGATTGGGTGTCGTAGTATAACATGATTTGTTTTTTGTTTTTTTTGTTGACGTGATGAGTTTAAATATTTTGCATAACATATTGAGGTATATTTACATTTTATACCCTGAACAGGGCATATTAATTTTGCCAGAAAGTTTGTAACAACCAAAAGGAAACGCAACATATAATATACCATACATAGCTGTCATACAAAATGACTTGCATGGGAAGTTTTTTTATTTGATAAGGTACCTTCACAAAATTTCGCATAGATTATTGTTCCAGACAACGCTATATTCTCCGATAAGAAAATGTATGAATTAAACCACTATAGCATATAGCTGCCATACAAACTGATCGATCAAAATTGATTTTATGTATGAAAAACTATTTTATGTGTCAAGATATCTTCACGAAATTTCGCATGGATTATTGTCCAAGACAACGCTACATTCTCCGAACAAATTGTTCAGATCAAACTACTATATCATATAAGTATGTAGCTGCCATTGAAACTTACTGTTGAAATTCAGGTGTTTGTATGAAAAACTTTTTTTTTCTTTGTGAATGGTATTATGGCTTCGGTGCAAACGAAGTTAGAATTTTTTTCTTGTTGAATATGTATAAATATGAATTTTGATATGAACCCTCTTAAATTAAGGTAATTCAATGTATGACTTATTACACTTATTTATTTCCGAGAAAATAAGCACTTATAATGTTATTATGTTGAAGATATCGCAGTAACAAACATGAAGAATGACATGTTGGAATTTCGCAAGCTGAAAACGACATTTTTTTTAATATGAGAAAGTTAATTTTCAAATATTTTCGCAGCAAAGACACTGAAGACTGGTTTTATGTTCGTTGTTGCTATGTTTAACCAGCAATTTCCGAATTAAAAATATTGTATATACTATATATTATACGTACATATGTATATATATGACGAGAACGGCATTATATTATATAAAAACCATTTGAATAAGCATTTCTAACTGAAATTTATATGAACTGCTAGTGAAATCACATGACAATACAAATATAATGCAATTTGTAGCTCAAAAGGCTGCTGGATCTTTAGATTTTTCGTATGCTACATTTATCACAGTATAATTTTTTATATCTTCCATATTCCCATATGAGCTTTATTAGTGTACATTTCAAAGCATTAACAAGAATATGATATTCAAAGTGCAGTTACTCAAAAAGTGCAGTATGAGTGCCGCTATCTTTCTCTCCGTTACAACATATAGAAATCGCATTTTTATCAACACTATTCCAAGGCATTCCACTTGACTTGCCGCCTAAATAGGCAAATAGTTAACCAAACTCACAACTACTGTATAGTAAGTGCAAAGCAGCGAAGAAAATTACAAAAAAAAAAAAAAAAAAAGAAACAAAAAATCACTATATTTTTTCAAGTTTAGCCTGTTCGATTGGTGGTACCCTCCACTAAGTTGTACCAGTTGAACGCTCTTAGCGCACAGTGTGACTGACTGCATGCCACACCAAATAAGCAATATAATCAAGTGGTACCAGTGTGGTGGCAATGACAACAGTAGGATGTCCAGAGCACACCTGATGTTTATAGCCAGCGCGGATATATGTATGTATGTGGAAGGGGTGGTGTGGTAGCGTTAATTACTGTGGGCTGCGCCACAGATACATATATGCATATGTATACAAGCAGCTATTGTACCAGCAACATACGTCATAAGTTGACAATCATTAATACACATACTTTCTATTTTTTTAGTAATATTAAGTGCGAAAGTGATATTATTATTATTTTTTTTTGTTGTGTATCTTAGCAGTTTCGCGTTGTATTTTATTTTGTTTACATATACATACATATGTATGCACATTGTTATATTTTTTTTTGTGTTGCTATATATTTTATATACAGCTATACATATATATTGTATTTTGTGTATATATTTTTTACTTTTTTGCAACTAATAAAAGTTTTGTGTTTGCAGTTATAAATAATTATAAACACAAAAAGTTCTGTGCGAACGAAAAGTGCAAAAACATTAGTTTTACATTTTTCCGCCTAACTCACTGTCACTTTCATTTTCCAGGAAATCCAGCTTTTTGTAACTTTTCTTTGTTTCCTTAATTATTTTCCTATTAAGTAGTAGAGTGCAACTTTTTTTAAGTAATCGCAAAAAATCAGGAAAAGGTTTATTTGTTATTCGTCATTTTATTATCGTTTATTATAAAAAGTTTAAATACATTTTTGTTGTGTAAAACTTATAGTTCCGCAGGCACCCTAATTCACAGTTGCCATTGATTGAAAATTTTTATTATAAGAGAAAATTTTTATTATAAACAAAAGAAGAATTGTAACATAAATTACTTTTTTATTAAATTTTGATTCAAAATTTAGTATGCCAAAATTTAACATATTATATTATTTGGTTATATTTATATAGCTTAATAACATTTATGAACAAGAAAAAAAAACTGGCATTTGACCTTTGTCATTACACCCACTATGAAATTGGCAACTCGACTAAACTTTTACAGATTATTTTTTTGCTTACACAACTACAATTTACTGGCTACGTCACAATGTGCGCGCTATAAAATACTTCTTTGGTGCAATTAATTTTTAGTTTCATTTTAATGCATTTGAAGTTTTTTCTTTGTGCCACTATATCGTCGTTATTTCTAACAGAGAACAATATAAGCACAAAGAAACAAAAAAAAATGTAATTTCAATAGGCAATTCGTTACAGCTGCCGCTCGGCAGCAGAAACAACTTGTAGCGTATGAGATGAAGTGGGAGTTAAATTGTACAGCAGCAACACTGGCGTTGGTGCTGCGCTACCGAATATATGAATGAATGGAATGGGGCGATGGATTGGTTGGTTGTTTGGATGACTGGCTGGCTTGCGCACTGCGCAACATGTGAACGGTGGTATGCGGTGCGGTATGAGAGGCGAATCCAAACACTACAGCTATAAAATCTTGTATAAAGGGGAACAGAACGAGGGCGTTGTTTGTATGCTCTCGTGTGCTGTTGTAAATATTTATGTATGTATAACGTTATTTGACGGGAAAACAAGTGGGCGAACTACTGACATTTACTTTAAACTATATTCCATAACAATTTGTTTATATACCTTTAATATATTAAGTGTATGTTATATTAGTTAAATGTAAGATGCCATACTTGGAGACATGATACATAATGATAAATGTTAAATAACATTGTCTATTTAAGTAATTTTGCGTTAAAAAAAATTATATGTAATGTTACAAAAAATATAAGCTATAAGTATACAGATTCGTAAAGGGTATAAAGTTTAAGTAGATCATGATAGTACTGTTTTTTTGCACGTTTGTCATTTTCACACAAAATTTTGCACGTTTTGCAATTGACCGCGTTAAGTTTGAGAACTGATTGTACAACCATAGCGTCACTGCATCCGCTTTATTTGAATTAAAATTGTGGTTTTCTTTAACTGCATGGGCGTAAAATTTCAAAAACGTTCAAACTCAAAACATAAACACACCAAAGGAAATTACTTTATAGGTATGTACAAAATTTACGATTTGTGAATAAGCACCTTTTTTCGAAGAGAAAACGGAAGTAATTAAGTTTCTCTGTGCATAAATTAATTACCATTCAAATGTAAATTTCAACAACACACATGTATGTTTTCGAAGTCTTTTTGTTAATTGTACACAAAAGATAAGGCAGCTAATACAGCAACAAATAGTTGAACTTTATGCGAATAATAAAACCAAGACCACAAAACAATGTTTAAAACATTTTGAATTTTCTCTATATTTGTTTGGAATGCAATGTGTTTGTGACAATTTGTTTCACGCACAATGGGTTAATAATGACGAAGTCATGCAGCGAATAAAATCGGAAAACTTCACCGTACGCAGGTAGATGTACTCTATGTTGTAGTTGTTGTTGTTGGTCGTACCCACTCCAAAAAGCAATGAACACTTTGCCAACACACTATACCAAGCGCAAATTTAATACATTTTTTAGCCAAATTTTATTATTTTAACTATTTATGTTACATATTTTTTAAGTTTTCACGTACCGTTGTTCAATTGCATATTTTATTTGATATCTTCGCGGAGTTATATTAAAATCGGATTTTCGGAGCACAATTTGTCGCTATCTCTGCTGCTTCGCCGCCACTGCAATCAACCGAACGAGACGGACTACGCGACGAGACAATGAGCAAGGAAACGCAAGTAGAAATTCGCTTTAAAATAGCTATACTCAATTTTACACAATTTCACTTAAATTTATTGTATTGTATTATGCCGAAATGCATTGATGCCCATTCAATTTGTTTATTTTAAAATGCACTTAAAGCAAATAAATAAATAAAAAACGAAAAGAGCAGCTAAATTCTTTCCGTACGCGTCGACGTTTTCGTTTTCGTTTTAGTTTTCTTTTCACTGCTGCTGTCTGGATTGGTGGTGTTGCCAATAAGCTGCCGATAGTACGGAATGACCTGAATTTGCGGAACAATATGATTGTGTCCCGTTGTAAAAATGCCATTCTAAAAGCATATAATCATAGACTATATATATTCATAATTCTAAATAAATCCGTTAGTTTACTTTCAATATTTGAGAGAAATGAAATGTTTAAAATACAAAGATTTAGTAAAACGCAAACAAGTTTTCTAAAGAATATGGCAACGTTTTTTGCTGTTTAAAGATAAACCGCGAGTGGCGCCCTCTTTTCAATTGAGAAGTGAAACAACGTCGAGTATTGCCAGTATTAAGTGAGAGCAATATTTAAAGTTAATTGAAGTTAGTTTATATAAATATAAAAAAGTATAGTTATCTTGTAATTTGACAAAAAGGCAAATCTAGCTAATTAGATAATATTTTATACGAATTTTCTATTTATTTCTTTTGAGATATACCGTTGATTGCTCTTCTGCATTTCCTAAAATCAGAATTAATTATATTTTTGTTAGGTAGTTAGGTTATACTGGATGCTGTAACACCATACATAAGTAGATCTAATGGTTAATGCCAGATGGATTAATTCGAGCTGAAGTATTCGTGATACAGGACGTCAACGCTTTTTGCGAACTTTAAGAGCGATTTGATATCTAATTTTGATACTTTATCTAGTCCCTTAAACTGCGAAGCTCTTAGATACCTAAGACAAATTCTGTATAAGACTGGACAGAGGCCTAAGAGATGTTCCGGTGTTTCAGCGTTTCCCTCTTATGCCTAATTTCCTGTACTTTCTGCATGTACCGTCGTTACTAATGCCCATCCGGTTCGCATGTGATGATGGTAAGTGTTGACCTGCCATTAGGCTTCCAGACTTTTCCTTTTCATGTGAATAAAAAGCATGTGAGTTTTTCTTCGGGACTCTTTTAAATGATCTTGGCGATTCTGCATGTCATTAGGGCATTCCATCTCAACCTGATTCGTTTGTAAACTATTTCGAAAATTTTATTATGTATCGTTTTTTAGCGACATAGGTGTTTTCTACACTAGTTTGCTACCCAGGCGAATGAAACTTTTGACTTTACCTGAGGCAATCTTTTCAGCTATTTTATGTCCGGAAATTCCTTTGTAAATTGGAAATCAGTATATATGCAAAAACTTTACGGCAGGCACTACGTCTACTGCCTCCCTGTTTCTACGGTTATTTTCTGACGTTATACGTGTGAGATTATTACCTAATTGCCGTTTGGTTATAGACGAATATTTTGATCTACTTTATGCTGTCTCCTGCGTTGTTAGCTCAGCCATTTTCCTAACCGCACAGACTTTCGCCTGGAAGATACTGTAGTAATCCGGGCGCTTGAAGGGTCGCCTGAGTTCCAGCTCCAAGCAATAGATTCCGGCGCTCACTCTGTTACCCATTTTTGATCCGTCTGTGCAGATGTTGCAAGTTCGCATGCTCCTGTGCCTTACAACCCTCTATTAGTGCGATTTGAGACCTACTCTCCCAAATAAATCGTGGGGGTATGCTGTCAATTTATCCAACAACCCCCTGTTTATCGAGTTTTCCCCGAAGGCCCTTGTAGTAGAAGTCTTCTGGGTAGTTGAGTGGTATGCAAAGAAGATTTTACCTGTGCGGAAAAAAGTAGATCGAATAATTTTTCCTGTAATTGGACTCTAGTATCCGGAGGGATTCTCTGGATGCAACTATGTAGCTACTTATATACATAGGATATTATGATAGCTCGCTGTTAATACGGCCTCACATTTCATTTGAGGAATAAGTTAATAGAATGTACTAGGGAAGCAATGGTGAAGTAGACAAAATATAGCTAGGACTTGATAATTTATTTATTTACTTAAAGTATACAGACACCTATAGGTTAAGTGTCTTTAAGTTAAGGGTATTGCAGTAAGCGCGACTTAATTTCTTGGGCGCATGCGTTTCACTCATACACTGTAAAAATCCATTTCGTTGTGTAGAGTGTTGACTAGCCTGGCAATTCGATCGTGCGGGACATTGAGCACATAGTTCTTTGTAGTTTTTGTGGTTTTCAGCAGACGGTTGTGTCTCAGTGGGAGACCCACTGGAGCAAACTCAAAGCAGCAGCAGATGTCTGGCGCGTCAATTTGACAATTGACGACTTTATTTTGATCATAGACATCATCCACTGAGGCATGAGGGCCAGGTAATCCATAGCGGTAACCCAGGTTTTTACTGAACTTGTGTTGTACCTTTTCTATACGCTTGGTCGCCATGCCCGTGAATGGAGACCAGATTACTGTGCAATACTCCAAGATAGGAAGCACTAGTGATGAGTAAAGGCGCATCAAACAGCTTGGATCAGAAAAGTCTTTGCTGATTCTGATTGTAAAATCTAGTACTTTAAATGCCTGGAGTGTGATGCTTTCGATATGCTTGTTGAAAGTTATTATATTGTCTATGATGATTTCTAAGTATTTTACTGAATCAACCTCATTTATCGCCTCATTATCCAGTAGAATATTATGGTCTACTCTATCAAAAGCTTTATTGATAGTTATAGAAAGGCAATGCTAATAGTAAGCTCAGTAGGACGATTATGTTGACCATAAGTTGAGCGAAGCACGCGAAACACATTCCTTAATTGCGTTATTAAATTTCTCCGCTTTAGTTGAGGTTATATCTTATATATCGCAAATATGTCGATAAAATTAAGCGAAAATATATTAATTAGCATAATGTAAATCGTTAATAAAAATTATAGATATCTTTATGTACCTTCCCGCAGCACTAATAGCATGAATATAGAGATTTGTGTTATGTTAGTTAGATATACATATGTATTTTAATAAAAATATCTCAGATGTAGGACTAAGTGATTATATACGTATTACCTATAATATAAGTTAATACTAAATTTGATTGTAATCCATTCGGATTCTATATATAAAATGTTTGGTTACACCTGAACTTAGCGCTGCCTTACTTGTTTTTCTTTGTAATCAAACTGGTTGTAAAATCAGTTTTATTCTAAATTTTAAAAGTAACTTTAAAGCCTCTAAATGCTTGTATAGTTAAAGGAATTTAAAGAAATATACCACCTTAAATTATGATAATCTTAATCAAATAAAGGCATGTCAACTTCACGGCGTTCGATGCTAAAGATGTTAAGGCAAAATGGCAACCGCAGTCACATTAAGTATGGAAATACATAAATACTTGTTTGCATTCAATAGAAAAATAAACAACAACACAATATAAACAAGGGTACTTGCTGCCAATCAGCTGCAAAGCCTAAAAGGCTGCTTTACTAGATGCCATCAAAGCCGGTAGCTAGTCTATTTGTACGTATGTGTATGCCTTTGGCTTGCAAACACAAATAAGCATTCAAATAAAAATAAAACAATGTAATGCAGAAAACGAATAAAAGAAATGCATTTGGGGGTAAGAAAACAAATTTTTTATTGAAAATAGTGAGTCTCCAGAGAGCAAAAGGATAAAAATATGTTCCAATTCTCGAATATGGCAGCTAACAAGACAACAAACAAAAATAAAGTTGAACAAAAAGTTAGGGCGCTGGAGTGCTTTGGTGGTCAAATAGTGCATTTCGGAGAACGGTTGGAAGGAGGTTGTCATAGAAGGGCGTTGACTTTAAGCTCTGCATATTCGGGTGTTATTGATGAGGCTTTACGTTTGGGTAACAGGAAATGGGGGGAGTAATAGCAAAAGGAACGAGCATGTGGTGCAAATATGGAGTGGGAGTGTGAGTGGGTAGTCACCTAGTCAGGCGACACGGCGCAGCAGGGGTTGATGCATGCCTTGTGTTTTCTCGTTATGCTTAAAGGATGTGCTTACGCGATTATTCCACTGCGTGCGTTTTTGTGTGTGTGGCATGTGTAAAAGTGCCATATCAAATTCTTTTTTATATGCACCCAAAATGCAAGTAACATATACGGAGACTAATGTATACGGGTAACCTTAAATACTCGTAAATGTGTGTCGATATACGCTACTTAGGTGAAATTTAACCTTTAGCCTCGTTGTGTACGCAAGCCAAAACCACGCCAAGCATGCAGGCATGGCCAAAAGCAAATGTACGCCAGCGTTTGCCAAAGAGGCGAGACATTCACTCATATATGTACATTTCTATATTTGTATATATGTATGTATGTTTATAAGAAGGGCACAAGTCAGCATCTCTTCTTTCATTTCCATTACCATTTGGGGGTAGTAAAATTCCCATAGGTGTTAAAATAGTGTTACGACGCTGTTGCATTGGCTTATGACGGCTGGTTTGTTTCGACACCGTGTCTTAATCAGACAGAGTGACAGAGCTTGAAATGTAGATGGTATACACCACAAACATGACCAACCCGTCGAGCTTTAATAACTCAAAGTGTTTGGAGATACCATGGTACAGTGTGGTGAGGAGAGTAAAGTGTTGAATAAAGTAATGGATTATTTACTTGGATGTTAGAGAACAAGCGTATTTTGTGGGAGCTGAACTGTTCAGGTGTAACTATAGTATTTCCTTTAACTACGGTTGGAGCGTAGGTAAACATTTAAAAATATATTAGAATTGTACACGAGCATCCAATGAACAGCACTATTGGTTTTGGTTTGGTTTGGACCTATTGGGGATGGTCTTGATTTTGGTTGTGGTTCTAAGAGACGCCGACTTGCCAATAAACTGCTTCCAATCTAAGATGTTACAGGTTAGCTGAAAAGTTTCTGCGCTCGAAATGAAAAAGTACTGTGTTTGGTACGAAATAATATTTTTTTATTCCATATATTCTCGGTTAACTTCAATACACTTATTCTAAAGATCTTTCAATAATTTTACGCCAACCCTATAATGACTTTCCGGAAGCTCTGAAAATTCCCAGCCTACGGCTGTAATAGCTTTCTCATTCGACGAAAAACGCTTTCCACGAAAAAAATTATTTCATGTTTCTGAAGAGGTAGTAGTCACTGGGAGTGACATGTGGTGAATACGGTGGATGCTAAAGC